ACGCACGCACGCACGCACGCACGTACACATATGCATACATGGGTACATGTCTTTGGTTTACACTACGTCAATGTGTTTCCATACTGGCTTTGCTTGGCTGTGGCAGCTGGCTGCACCGTGCTTTCCAAAGCTGTGTCGTGAGAGGTGCTGGTTTTTCCTGGATGACCTCGAAGCAGCGCCAGGCTCGACTCCCACAGGCTAGACATTTTCGTTTCGACTTGCATCTCATGAGGGGGTCTCACCTCCGAACTCCAGATTTATGCCTCATTACGCGCGGCATGTTGGAGCGGCATGAAAGTATTCTCGCTTACGAGTATGTGTGGCGCTTGGTGGTAGCACATGTGATACTCTCTACGGGTGCTCAAGCAACGAGGGGGGGCGCAGCAGGAATCCTCCGAAGCTGTCTTGCCCAAGATATCTACGATTCTACAGTCTTAGCACGGTGAGCATTAGCCTGTTTCCGAGGAGGTCGACGAAGAATATCTCCGGCACAACACTCCCATACCATGGTATGCCGCGGTCACAGACTGTCGTTGGCCTTTGGTGATGCTTCGGTTGACTAGTTGGAGAAGCAGCCGACAGCCAATGTCATTGGTGAAATCTACCAAGGACCTGGCCACTGGTAGCAAATGGCATCCACTCAATTCAGCTGCTGTTTGGAACCAACAAGCCAATTCATAGACTAGTGCTGCGCACGCGCTGCCCACACGGGTTTAGGTTTCTGGATGAATCTGGGGCAGGCTTGTCGCAAGGTGGGCTTCAGTGCCTACAGCCATAGGCTAAGGGGTCTGAGAACTCTAGACTCTAGTGATACGGTTTATAGGCTGGTTGGGGAGCCCTGAACATGCTCATTGATATGATGCCGGTCCGGCATAAGTCATTCTTGCAATCGTAGATCAAGATCAAAATCCCAAGAGCAGATGAACCACATCCTACCAGCAACACACACACACACATTCACAGACAGACCCTTCGTTTGACCTGTTCGGCCCCTGCCGAGGACTGGACCAAGTCGTTGCCTCGGCGCAAGTCTCGCGTTTCGGTGCTGCTGCTGCTGCCCTCAGCTCCTGCATGCGGCCTTCGGACCTACCATCACTGTTGCTTCCTTTTTGTGTGTGCTCACCTCCCGCCTCTTCAGTGACATCACCGGTGCCTCCGCCCTTCTCAGCTGCTACCTGGCGACTGTCACTTGCCAGTGGCATTTTCCATCTGGCTCTGAAGCGCGAGGTCCTACGAGAAGAGCAGCAAGGGCCAGCGCATTTCAGCATGCTGCGCCTGGCTAAGCACAGCATCGATGCAAGGGAACAAGGCCCTCTCCAGTAGCCAACGGCCTCTCTCGCGGATGCGAGGTTGGAGCCTCGACAACTCCAGGCGCACATCCCCACAGCAGTGGTGGCGGGATGCCATCCGTGGCCAGGCCATTTCCCAACTCCTCTGTCGACATCCTGCTTTGACTCCTGCCACAAGGAAGTTCGGGTCGACGGCCCCGGCTCCACTGTTCGGAGAGTCTTGTCAAGGCAGGCGTGGCTGAGTGTCATGCCGCATCTCCATGTCAGTGGGTCTTGTCCTGCCCATAGAAGCAGCGCCGGTGGCAACTCCCTCCCAACCCAGCTCGGTCTGAGCACTGCAAAGTCCGGACGTCTTCACTTGGACTCAAAGAAAGGCAGGTAGGAGATCCTGGAATAAATTTACAAGTGAACCTGCGCCGACCTTCCTGCAGGTCGCTGTCCCCGAGCCGACAGCGGGGAGGCTCCAGCAACTCGCCCCGCTCACTGACTCCTTTGGCACGGCAGAGCCTGGGTGGCAGCAACAGGGGGTTTGTCCGGAGGTCAAGGCTGACTGACTGTGACCCGAAGTGGTTGTTGGGTCTGCAGGATACCGTGGAAGCTGTTTGTAGATCACGGAGCTTCATCGGCCTGTCGCACGGCCCAGGAACCATCGTTTCGGCTCACCTGCTCCTGCCAGAGAGACAGCAGTTCCAAAGCCCATCCTGCTGCAAGAGGACTGCCGCGAGATCTTGCTGAGTCGCAGCATTTTCGCAAGGTCCACAATCAACAGCGGTTTTAAGACTTTGTCGAGACATTCGACCGACTACAAGCTAGCTCTAGTGGGCGAAGATGTTTCCGGTAAGCAGACATGTATCGCATCTGATCTCGAAGGAAGCCCACCTCACCTCGCGCCAGGGCACTGAGAGTAGTCCGTTCACGGTGCCTGGGCAGCCTCCGACGAGTTTCACCTGTCCTTGGATTGGTTGCGTGTATGCTGTTTCGGACGAGATTCACGGCGAGCCCGGTGACCCAACATCGTTAATCAGCTTCGCATGGTTTCTCTCGGATTCCGAACCTTCCCTGCACTTCGCGACGTCGCTACGCCGATTGTGGGCGGGACTCCGCTAGCCCTAGCCCCTAGCAGGCCTTGGGTTTGGGTGCACAGCTGAGGTTGCTCACCCTGAATGGTGCCGTGGGGGTGGCCCCACCTTTGCAAGGACAGAGCTGGGTATGCAAGTCACAGCGGCCGCTGGTTCTAGCCTGCTATTGGACCGCTGAACTCGATCTCGAAGATGCTACCCGACTTCTATTGATCAGCAGTTACCATGTGTTCCACGTCGATGCTGCGTGGCTCAAGTCCAGCTCATTACTATCAGTAGTTACTATCCATGACTTCTCCCTGGCATCGCAAAGCGTAAACTATGCCATTGATTCTCGGAGGCAGGGGAGCAGATATTTGCAAGGGACGCTGTTGCGGCCTTCCGGCATCAATTCCATGGTCAAGCTTTCAGCACACTTCGACGCAGTGTCCTGAATCGTCCACCCATGCAATTAATACAAGTTTCCGGAGGAAAGGCCGCAACCACGTCGCCGAACTGTTTATCTAGCTGTGACTGAGCACGACAAGGCAGAGAGACATGAACTCTTCTCTTACCGAAACTGCCGCCCGTAGTCCGGACTTGCGAGAAACTGCGACAAGTTGACTTGAAGGATCTCGAATGTGCAGTTGATGGTACATCTGCAATGCCTCCTGTTCAGCCCTAGATAGCTATGCTTGCTGGGTATCATGACACCGAAGACGGACATGTCGCACGGGCCAGGTCTGGCGGGAGCAGCGGCTGGTTACGGAGCTGCAGCGTGGCTGGAGAGGCGGAAGCCCCCACCGGGTCCCTCGACAGCAGCAGAAGCAAGCGGCGGTGTGAGTTGTGAGACTGTCTGGCATTGTCTGCGCCTTGTTCGCTAGCTTTCGTACGCCAGGAGCAACAAACGATAGAGGCAATGTTTGGCTTTGCTGCTACTAGTTCATAGAGCCAGGGAAAGTGAAAGCTCAAAGCAACATGCACTGCCAGAGATGCGTCAGCATCTTCACACCACGTCGTTGCATGTGTGTGTGTGTGTTTGTTGTGTGTGTGTGTGTGTGGCCTTTTGTTTTCTCCCTGCTCCCTCTCTGGCTCACTCTCTCCCTATCTCTCTCTCTCCCTCACTCTCTTCTGCTGGTATCTAGTGAGCTTACTATCTAGTTACTTCTGAGCGTGTGTGTCTGGTGGTATGTTCTTCTACTCAGATCGATAGACATGCAACCCCCACATACTTGAGTATATGCATGCCTAGGTATAGAAAGTGTATATTCGGCACACACATTCTGTTTATGTGTTTATATGTGTATTTGTTTACACACACACGCACGTTCCCACAAGTGCACACGCTTTTATTTTATTGTGTGCTTTACACGCGTGTGCATGGCTGCAATTGAATGCATGCGTACATGTCTTCGGGTCTTCATGTGCAGGGAATGCAGGGAAGAATGTACGGGTGTCACACTAACGCGCAAGCCGCTGTCCCGTGTCCATCGACCGAGAAGCACATCCAAGGCAAAGATCCCAATATCAAGCACGCGTCTTTGGGAGCCCTGGCGCTGGCGGGTGGGGTAGAAGGTGTTGTTTGTTGGCTTCGGTTCCAGCGCAAAGCGAAGGGCTGACTAGACTCCAAACCAGATCCAACCCTGTCGTCCCCAAACCTAAGGTGTAGTCCGGCTGGATTGGCACTATCATCCACTGCCGGGAGATGTGGGGAGCCCTGACAGCTTCGAGTACCCTGTCTACTACCGCGCAGTGCCAGGCCAGGACCTGTGTATATCTATCTATGGAAAGGCTGCGTCCCGCAGGCAAAGAAAAAAGGGCTTGTAAGGTTACAAGGAGTCTGTCTCGCAACGGCGTTAGATGTGTACATGTTCACATGCCTATGCAATTTACTAGTCCCGGTAAGCAGTGACGTTGTTGATGAACCTGTTCTTGTACATGTCTTACATGCCGGGCACGAATATAGTAGCTGGCTTAACTCGGACTGGCCTTTTGTGCGGAGGTCTGACTTTCGAAATTTGCCAGTCTGGCAAGATGAGCCCGGAGATTCAACAGAACTTCAAGGATGCCATCGAGTTCTTGGACAAAGAGCGGGGGGTCTCTGTCATAACTTCTGATTGCGGCTTCTTCATGTGGTTCCAGAAGGAGGCCCGCCTCTACACTTCCAAGCCGGTGGTGATGTCCTCGCTTGCCCTGCTCCCCTCCTTGCACGCGGCCATCGGCACAGATGGTAAAATTGCCATCTTCAGCGCAAATAGTACGAGCCTGGGACCAATGCATGACACCGTGGCGAAGGAGTGCGGTGTGGATTGGGACGAAGCTTGCTATGTGCTTGTGGGCTGCCAAGATGTAGAAGGCTTTGGAGCTGTGGCTAGCGGTGAGCCTCTCGACCTAGAGAAAGTCACTCCTGGCATCGTCCGAAAAGCCAAGCAGGTCATTGCTGAGCATCCGGACATCCATGCAATTCTGATGGAGTGCACACAGCTGCCTCCGTTCTCAGATGATGTCCGTGCAGCCACAGGCCTGCCAGTCTACGACGCTATCGTCTCAGCTGACTTTTTCATTCGGGGCTTTGTGGACAATCCACGCTTCGGATTGAACGACTGGCACCGGCCCTGGGATGGGCAGCAAGAGAAGTACAAGCTCGGTGACAATGTGCAAGACAAAGAGAAGCTGCTCCACTACAAGCCCTAGAACGGCCGAGGCTCTTTTGTGCGTTCCTGCCTCGTGCCATCATTGATGGAGAGGCAGCTGTCGCAATGTAGAATAGGTTCGATTTAGAGACTTAGTTAGACCTAGACTTGAGAATATCTCAATCGACGCCAAAGCGCAGAACAACGGCGCAGACCAACAGACACTTCGAGACACAGCGAAACACCTGTGCGCTTGCGTGTGGGTGGCACTCGTGATTTGTAAGTGGCCTGGTGTCGGTGTCCGGTAGTTTCCCACTCGGAAGATTAAGGTGAGTGGTCTACACCACAAAATCTGCTCTGCATCAATCTGGAAGCTTCATGCAACCTCCAGATGCTTTCTGACGGTGTGAGGAGCGGACGTAGCATTTCGCCGTCGCCGAGGCAAACAGCTGAGGTTCCACCGCCGGGTTGGGGCGTCTCTCTCTCGCTCTTTCGCTCCCTTCCTCTCTCGCTCTCTCTCTCTCTCTCTCTCTCTCTCTCTCTCTCTCTCTTTCTCTCTCTCGCTCTTTTTCTCTCTCTCTCGACACACGCACGCACACACACACAGACACATGCAGGAATGCGCTTGCACACTTTCACACATGTTGTGGTAAATGTATGTATGGACATGCATGGATTCGCGACTGCTATGTCTGGGAGTAGTCTTCTTCCTCCATGCTGCCCTGGATTGCCAGGGTCCTGCAAAGCAGAATCGCAGCCAGTCGCCCCAAACGCGGCGTCCTTCTGTGAGACACACCCACTCATGAGCAGCAGAACCTCAAACTTTTTGCTGTAAGGTAGTTGTGCAGTATCGGTGAACTTGAAGGTTGACTTTCTACTTGGCTGTAGCTGTCCTTGACTAGCTCCATCGCTGCCCTTGTGCTGTGGAGTGGATGGCCGCCCCAACAAGGTGCAAGCACTCAGGAGGCTCAACCCAAGTCCAAGACCAAAACCCAAGACCCTCAAGTCCTCGGGCACCGAGAATGGATGTGGCAAGAAGGTGTGGAGCCGTGACAACGCGAACCGCGAGTCAGGTTGTATCTGGTTGAGATGTACTATAGGTCCGGATGGACAGCCTCGCGAACCCTGTAGTGTTGCGCGGTCCGAACCATTCCTCACTGAGGAGATGCATGTTGGGGCTTGGCTTTCCTGCAGTCGTAGGTGTGCAGGCCAACGGCGTATGGGCATGCGAGTAGCAGTGCCAAACTCACGATCTACAGATTCAGGTAGAGAGGCTAAGACAGGTGTTTGCACCAGCCAGTTCGTGGTCCGAGGTGGCAGCAAAAGATAACTGGCTTGTCGGCTGCGTCCGTAATTCCTCTCTGTTCTTTCGGACTAGGACTACTCACTTATGCAAGTCGGTACGTCATGAATCCGTAATGGCCTTGATGTCACGAACCGTAGGATTGCAGGACGTGCAGTGATCGTTTTGGCATCGTGCTCACTCGCGACAGGCCGACCAGAAGTTAGCGTTCTAAGCTTGCTGCGGGATTGTCTTGCGGACAGAATGAAATCGCAGGATTCTTCCCCAACCGCAAGTTAAAAACTTCTTGGACGGTAAGTATTCACGCACTTCTCACGGCCCCTCGAGTCCTGTCTAGCAGCAAGTGGGTCCGAGCTCCAGAGCAACTCGGCTAGGCAAAGGCAAAAGAAGGAAGAGGGTCTTCGAACCCTGAAGCACAGTCTTCAACTCCCGTGCCCCGGGTTGCTTTGGGAGGGCGGTTCTTCTCGTCGTTCCTCTGCTGCTGGCGAAGCCACTGGCAGCAGCTTCGCTCGCTCGAGAGGAGCAAAAAGGAGGTGTTTGCTCTGCGATTCGTGTCTCGAAGGCAGAAGGGGCGTGAGCTTCTCTCTTATGGTGTCGGGACCAGCGTCGGCTGAGAGCGAGAGATGATGAACTCGTAGAGCTAGAGCGCCGCCCCCCTTTTGCTGAGCAAGCTTGCCCCCTTTGTCGCTGCACAGCCGCAGGCCGCGCGATGGCTGGGGGGAGCGGCACGACAGGCAGTGCTGGGGGAAACTACATGCCGCCCCGCCGTGACCTTCGCGGGTTGTGTTCTATCACACCTAGCGTGCTGGCATGCATGAAGCGATGTCCAGACCTGCCCCCGATCTGAAGCTAACGTGCACTTAGATTCTTCCACTGTCGTTGTTCTGCATCTTGGCACAGGCCGGTGC